GCCTGAGCTCCCCTGGCATTTCTGTTCTTAGAGATGCCTGGCATGAAAATTCATGGTTTGTTTAACAAATTTAATGTAAAGCCATCGTACAGATGTCATCTCACTGTCTCTTGAAATCCAATGGGATTTGTAAGGAAGACAGTAATAGAGAGAGTCTGTGCATCTTCTGACCCACTGGAACTATCTAGAAACCAAAAAAGGGTTGATGTTCATCAGCCTGCAATGTTAATTCCAGACTAAGGAGAAGTTACTCACTGATGGTTGAGCTCCTAACAGGTTACCTACTCTCTGGATCTGTTCTAAAATCGGTCACATGAGAGGCTGGACTGACTAGGCAGCCATCCTCTCATCCAGGACATCTTTTATAACTCTACACTGCCTATCAGGATAAATGATCTCTTCCTTAACTTCCCAGATTTGAAAATTCCAGATAACAATATTTACAATTTTTGAGACCCGCAGAAGCAGATTATCTTCAAACCCCCAAGTTATTCCCTCATAAGCATTACAGTAAATTGGTCTTCTTGATTAAATACAAGTGGTTTTTATTAACAGAGAGAAGTAGAAGCTAGGGTTGAAGAATTACAGTTTGATCGTTACTCTGTCTTTAGGCCTGGGTAAGTATTCATACTCCCTAATAGTACGCTACTGTTTGTTATTCCCTAGAAGTTAGTTTTTCATGTGAAGAGGCTGACAACTAGGGTATCTAAGATATGAAAGAAGTTGGTTAGAGTTGAATTGCTCCTCTGAAGAACATGCCTTCTGGCTTTGAAGGAAAGGGTAGACCGTTTGTTGGTGCCAGGTTCAGAGTAGTCTGGAATTTCCGGGGTCGCTTTTGCTGCCTTAAAAAAAAAAAAAAAATCCTCTTCATTCGCCAAATAAAACCTTTCACCCATTGTATTAATCTGTTCAGGCTGCTGTAACAGAGTAACACCACAGACTGGGTGGCGTAAGCAACAGAAATTTATTTTCTCACAATTCTCGAGGGTAGAATCCAAGGTCAGGTTGCCATCAGAGTCCGTGTCTGCTGAGGCCTCGCTTCCTGGTTTGTAGATGGCCTCCTCTCTGTGCCCTGACATGGTCTTTCCTCTGTGCGCATGTGGAGAGGTATCTGAAATCTTTCCCTGTCCTGTAAGGATACCCGTCCTGTCAGATCAAGGTCCCACCCTTGCGACCTAAACTAATCTGAATTACCCTGTAAATGCACTGTTTTCAAATACAGCCTCACTGGGGGTTAGAGCTTCAACATGAATTTGGTGGGCACAGTACAGTTCATAACACCCTGTATGGTCTGAAGACAATAAACCGTCTCTTCCTCTGCTTTTCTTTTTCTCTTTAGAGTTCTGCTGTGTGATAGGCAAGAATCTCGCCCAGGGGAGTGGTTGGTTAGGAAATTCTTTGGCTCCTTACCAGAATCTTGGGCCAGTGGGCACTCTGTGCCAGTGACGACTGTGGTTAGGGCAATGCTGAACAACGCAGTGAACCCAAGCGGCAAGAAGAAGGAACTTCTGGATAATAAGGCCATTCATGACCTGGGGAGAGCCGATAGCTCTCTCACACCATGACCGCACCGGAGAAATGCTTTCTACTGGAACTCAACACCCACTGCCTAATTGGTACTTTCAGGGTCTAAAAAAAGTCAGTGTGCTTTAACTGTGGTTTCCCTAGTTTCAGCTGCCGGATCCAGTAACAAATTACTGTGTCCTGCACCAGCAGTGCAGAGCCTGGTTGGACGGATTGATACATTGCCCAGGGAGCTTTTCAAAAACAGAGATCCATAGGCTCTACCTCAGATCCCTGAAGCAGAATCTTCAGGGTATAAGCACAGGAACCTGTTGTTTTTCTTAAAGCTTCCCCTAGTGGTTCTGGTGCCACTGGTGGGGAGGCCTGCTTTGAAAGGCTTGTCTGCACAAACCTTATATGTTATGCAGATGATTTCTGTTCTAAAATCGTCATTTGTGTCTCTGAGTTACCCGCTGCAGACTGCTGTATTTGTATCAGTGGGCGTCTTGCCTTACTACTTCTTTACAATGTATAATAAAAGCCATTATATAACCGAGCTTGTAAGATTCATGGGAGAATTAAATATAGGAAGGAAGATAAATGGACAAGTCCTGGGTGATTGTTAGGAAATGTCCAAGTGTCAGTGCTGATACGCAGCATTTTGGCTAGTTGGATGATAGAATAGAGCTAGTATTTATCCGGTGCTGGCTAAGTGCCAGCCTTTACACAAGCTCTCTGCCTTGTAACCCTCCACAATCTTTACAATCCTTGCAGGTGCTACTATCATCCCCATGTCTCAGATGGGGAACTGAAGCTCACTGCGGTTAAGTGCTTTGCCCAAGGGACCAAAGCTGAAGACCTGAAGCTGGAAATGGCAAAGCCAGGATTCTAACCCAAGTCAGCCTGACTCATAGCTTGTATTATTTTTAACCACTCTCCAAAGCCTCTGGTAGCCGTGTATTTCCAGAAAGTTCCAGTTAACAGTGACTGGATGAGTACTTGCTATGGATGGATAAAATTGAAATATTTGTTTCTTTTATAGGGTCTAGGATCCCAGTAGTGATTAACCACAAAAAGTTCACAAAGCCAGTAGAAGTGTATGTCAAAGTGCCACACTTTAAAAACTATGGGAAAGGAAAGAAAGATGTGGAAGGAGGGTCAAAGTCGACTAGCCAGTGTTAGTTTCGATCCACAAATAAAGGATAGTGGTGAAACCTGTCTTAACATCTGTGCTGAGGGAAACAGTGATTTGAGTGATTCAGTCTATTTTTACAGGGTCTGTAGTATGCCAAGTACATTTCAAGCTTCAGGAGACACCAGAGGATAAAGGCCATCCCCTTTAATTGGAGGTGTATATCTGTAGAAGGGATTGGACAGTCCCATTGTCAGTCACCCAGGAAAGAGACGTATTTTAGGAAGGGGTGGGGTCTTAGGATGTGGACTTTAGGAAGGAGATGGAACATTCCTCCTGCCAGGCATGGGTTCTAAAGAGCGGCATGAAGTGAGGGGATCCCATGAGGACATCCTGAGGCCTGTGGGCTCTAAAAGCAGCTACCCCCAGTGGCCAATTTTAAGTTATTCTATGTTATTTCCTTACCCACAAAACCTTCTGTCAGGTCATGTTCAACTTTTTGTTCTGGCCTCAATAGTGAGATGGGATGTTAGCGGGAGGTTTAGTCTGTGTTTGTCTGTGGAATAGAGAGGAAAGTGGCTCCTTCCCAAGCCCAGCATCGTGGTGAGACACAAACTTAAGAGAAGATTCTGGCTCAGTCACCCTTCTAGACTGTGGGCTACTTACTTAAGTGTTGACTGGGTGTTACAAAGGAATTTAGCAGATTTCCCTCCAAGTGTTACACACACACGGAGAAGATGGCCCATGCTGGAGAAGTTTATGTTGCAAGGATGAAGCAAAAAGGTGGATGGGCCCAGGTCACAAAAGGCCTTGAATTCATTCACCATACTGAATGCTTCCTAAGTGCTCCTGGACACACAGGAAGTGTAGATACATCAGTGAACAGTAAATCTTACCTGTTGGAGCCAGCAGCTATCCCGGCAGTATAAGGACAAATATTCAAAACTAATATTTGATAGATTCTGTCCTATAGTTTACAGATAAGAGGAGTACATTCAGAAGAGTGTAGCAATAGAAGGTGTCATTTTCATTCAGCAAATTCACCAAGTATCTACTATGAGTTAGGCCATCTATTATGTGCCAGAGAAATGAAAGCAGAGACAAGGCCCTTACCCTCATGGTACAGCGTTGGGGGCAAAACCAAAACAAACAAACAAGATAATGGTACATGCTGAGAAAGAAACTAATGGAGGGCTGCTGGAAAGACAGTGGAAACTTCTTGAGTAATGATGGTTCATATTTGTGGAGAGTTCTTAGCAAAAGCTTTGAGGTGGGAAGATGAGCCCTAAATCAAAGGCTGAAGAGTTGGGTTGATATGGAAATCAGGTAGGATTATGTGGAGTCTGGTACACCAAGGTAGTCAATTTAATTGGATAAACATGTGCTAGTCTCTGGAACTAAAGCTTGGTCAGTTACCTACAGAAATTACTGCTGCCCACTCCTACCCAAGAAAGCGTTCTGTAGTTTGAGTACATGTTAGGAAAGGGGGAAAAAAGGCATGAAGCACAGAACATTTGTGTTCTTCCCACCCAGCAGCCATAATGTCACTTTCTGAAGGTATGGAAGAGCCACTCTGTCAGCTGCTTCCCATTGTCTAGGATAAAGTTAACACTTACTGTCTACGCACTTTACACGTATTGTCATTTTATCCAGTGGCTCAATGGCTAGTGCATTCATTATCCCTGTTTTGTAGGTGAGGAAGTGGAGGTGGTGAAAAGTCTTGATCTTGCTCAAGATCAGGCTGACAAAGTGACAGAAAGAGGATTCAGACTAAATGGGTTCGATCTGAGTCCATGCTTTCACTTAACCACTGCACTTAAAAGACTAAAATCCTTAAAACGGTCCGCCAGGCTTCGGCACCTATGAGTGCTCTAGTACGCCCACACTGGCTCCTGCAGTCCTCTCTGGACCCCAAGGGAATCAGAGACCCCAGGAATCAGTGGAGTCTGAGGTCCTTGCCTGCGCTCCGCCGCCTCTGCCAGCAGAGGGCGCCGCGGGTCGGCCGCCCCCTCCACTAACAGCCCTTTCGTCGAGTTAGAGACGCACAGAGGGCGCGGTGCCCACTGTAAACCCGCGGCGGCGGGTCTCTGAGCTTCTGGGTTCAGGGGCGCAGGCGAAGGCCTCCCGGTGAGACGTGCGTGGCGCGAGGAGGAGACAAAAGTCACATCAAAGCCGGCAACACTTAGTACCAGATTCATCGCCGAATCTGCGCGCGATACACGAACCTTGGCGCTGGAGGAAGCGGAGAACAGGCTCCAGCCCCGCCCACCCAACTCATGTGACCAAAGACCGCGGCCTCGAGGCCGGAAGCGCTCCCAAGCCCGCGCGCGCGCGCGTTCTCGCATTTCTGGGCGGCTGTGAGGCTCCGCGAGTTCCGTCCCTGCCGCGCGCTCGCGCTCGTCCCCAGGCTTCCGGGCCCGGAGAGCTCGGCGGCGGCTGCGCGCGCGCTGCCCAGCCCGGTCCCCGCCCCCAGGCGCGCGGGGTTCCGGGACAACACAGCCATGTGCTCGTTAGCGTCGGGCGCTGCGGGTGGGTATCCCTGGCTATTTAGCTCCCTGCTCGCCCGGCGCGCAGCCCGCGGGGCGGGAGAAAGACCTGCCTTCCGCTGCCCGTCCCGGTTGCGGGGCGGGACGGTGGGGCCTGGCTGGGAGTGGGGGAGGCGCTGGCGAGGGCCGCGGGGGAGCGGGGCGGAGGGCGGCGCACCCCCCACCCTGCTCCTCGTGCGTGCGCCTCGCACTGGCGTCGGTCCGGCGCCGGGCTGATGATTTACGTGTGCTAGGCGGCCGGGGCGCTGTGGAGGACGAGGACGACCTGCCAGAGCTGTCCGACAGCGGTGACGAGGCCGCCTGGGAGGATGAGGACGATGCTGAGCCCCTCCACGACAAGCAGCAGACCCCCTGCCTGTTCTGTGACAGGTTCGTCCGCCTCCGTGCCAGGCGCCACCCCTAGGGTGCCCGCGCCCGGTGCGTCCGTGTGGTGCGTTCGTCTGAAGCCCGGCCCGAGCGGCCTGCCCACGAATCCTTGAGCCCGTGGTGTGGAGTGAGGGTTTGTTGAGAAGGAAGCGCCGTGCTGTAGAGGGAAGAGCCCTAAACTGGAAACCACGTCATACTAGCTTCTCTTCAGCCGGCCTCAGTTTCCCCGTGCGCGAACTCTGAATCTGTGGTTCCCAAGTCTAGCGGTGCACCCTTGTCTCCTGAGACTTTAAAGGATGCTCAACCCGGCGCCTCCGCCTTTCCAAATCAGGCGTGGGACCTGGGAATCTTAGATTTTTATAAAGGCATTTTCTGAGATGATTCTAATGAGATAAGTTTGCCAGTCACTAAGCCAGATCATCCCTCAGGGCCCTTCCAGCTTTATCGCTCTATAATTCATTAATGGGTACAGAGCTTCACAGGTGTACTGTTTCCACTTGAGCCATCTGAAGAATCACCTTTCTTAGGTCGGGGCTTGCCATCTCTTGAAGGGAAAGGAATTGATGCCCTTTTCACTTAGGGAGAAAGAAGCTATGGTATCAGTAACTCGTTCACAAAGGGTTTGTCGTATATCCAAATCCACGTTTTTCCACTTAAATTTCTGCCTCTTCATCTCAGGAAGCTTTGACTCTGGTCAGCCTTTTGGAAGTGGGTGTGAAAGAGGCCTTCTTGGCATGGGCCAGTGTTACTTGAACAAACATTTTCCAGTTTCCCATAAATCTCGGCAGGGTGCTGATTGGTGGCATATTAGCTCCTCTTGATTCGTCATTGTTCTCCCATGTAGCGCCATTTGCGTGGGTACAGAATGTCTACTACACTCCAGTTGCCGTAAAATAACATTTATTGAGCGTCAGGGATGTACTTCGTGATAAGCCGTATAAGTGCAACAAGGTAAACATTTGTTGAAAACTAATGACTGCATAGGTGCTAGGCCTGCGGAGGGGATAGGTAGCTCCTTGCTGTGTGTTCCTATCTCCAGTATCCTTCAGTTTCACAGGTCACTAATGAAGAGGCTTGGTCCTCACAGTGTCTATAACACAAGTACTTTCAGAACACTGCAGGGTCATCTTTGGAATAAGCACTTTGGGAGTATGCCAGCTGTAAAAATTACATTTTATGCTTTATTTCTAAAAGCAGTCTGAGCTCACACAGTTCAAAGCCTCTGGAAGCAGCATTGACACAGAGCAGAAGAGAATCTTCTGTAGGGAGTTTTCATCTCTTGACAGAAACTATCAAAGGGAGTTCTCGTCCTTAAAAGCTTTTTTATAAATTCAATGCTATTATTTGGCAAATAAATTAACTTTGACGTTTAAAATGTAGTTTGTAGGGTATACAGTGGGACAGAGAGGTATTAATTCCCTTTAGAAATGCTGGGTCCCTCTCATCTACAGGTATGTTTGCTTTTTCTTATTTGGATATAAAACAGGACTTAGCAGAAGTGGGGGGAGTGTGTATTTCACCTGAAATCAATATTTAGACTTTTGAGGGAACTGTTTCATGAAGTTATGATTTCATTTTTCAGGTTATTTACATCTGCTGAAGAAACATTTTCACACTGTAAGTCTGAGCATCAATTTAATATTGATAACATGGTCCATAAACATGGTGAGTATTTTTTAGACTAAAGGAAATTTTAGTTGTGAAATTTAAGTTCAAACTTTGTATTCCTCCAGACCTTTTCTTTCCTACACAAGTTCAGTGTCATGAAAAATACAACAAAACCTCTCTTATGAAGTTTTTTTTGACAAGTGGCCTTCGAAGGAGGACTAATTATAAATCATTCTTCTAGATGAGATTCACTCTATTTAAGCTTATATTGACTGTACAACTAAAAAGGGGGATAAAAGCAACCTTGGCATATGATTGCATTTTTATCATATTAGAATCAGGGAGAGCAAGGATAGAGGTGGACTTTGGAAAAGGAGGTGGGTCATTGTGAAAAAAGACAACTTACCAGTTCAAAGCATAACATGAACTTCAGGGCAAAAAGGTTGAGTTTGGTAAGAGTATAGAAAAAGGAGTGATGAAGTTAAGGTGGTAAACAAAATATTTAGATGATTCTTTTGAAACTTGTGTTTGAACATACTTCACTTATAATTAAGGTCTGCTTTTTCCAAATGTATGCAAAAGAGCCACACTGTTCCACTAAAATTAACTAAATACAGGGTTGGTTTTTTTAGTCCCTGTATTTGCTATCATCTAGAAAAGACATTCAATGTGTGATAAAATGTGTTTATAAATCATAAATTCAGCTGTGGCTGCTTTTATAAGACATGAGTGATTTATTGGTTTTTTTGATGTCCATTTTTTAAGCTAAATTGGAATCATACTTTATAATTTTTAATTTTTTTTACTTAAATAGGGGTTTTATATGCTATTATGCTTATAAAACATCTTCAGTGCTGTTATGTTTCTCATAACAACATTTTTCACAACAAATAATACTCAGTTGGTTGGATATCCTGTTACTTTTCCATGTTTTAAATGGTGCTTCATTTCTGGAAAGAGAACAAGCCTCATTGTTTTTTAATTTATATCACTTAATGTAAAAGCTTGTGTATCATTTGAATACTCCATGTCCAGGCAAAATTGTAATTTGGTAGGCACCCTAAAAATAGGCTCAAATTATCGGCTGCCAAATACTTGTTAAAATCTATAACCGAATTTTCCTGATTTGTATTGTTCTTACAAATGAAGATTTGAATTCTAAAAATTAATTTCCTACTTTTTCAGAAATGCAAGAAAAACATTAGAAATTGTTATCCATGTGGCTGTTTCTCAATTAAAATACTCAGAAGTATTAAAGTTGTTATTTCTAATTCTTAATGAGAAATTCAAAATATTTAAAGTTGTAGTTTAGAGAATAGAAATATTTTATCTAATCAGAAGCCTCTGTAGAATATGTCATTTAAACAAAATGTATATTAAAATAGGTGAATTATCTTTTTTTTTCCTCATTAGGACTTGAATTTTATGGATACATTAAGCTAATAAATTTTATTAGACTCAAGGTAAGTCAGTAGCTTAATTTACAGTTTTGTTTGGAAACTAAAGAAATACCACAGTGCCTATTGGGGTGTTGATTTTAGAAGAATACAAAGAACTGCTATGTAATCATACTGGGGTAATCATGGACGTTAGGAACTAGTATGACATAACAAGCACCAAGTAAATGAATACACACCATGCTTAGTAAGGTATCATTTTTAACTATGTCCAAGAGGTGAATTGGTGCTATGTGAAAAAATAATTCAGTGTCAGATAATACTGATACACAGGATTTCCCTGAATCAGAAATAATTACTAGTGTGATTTCAAGTACTGTGGTTGTCTTTTTGTTCTATTTTTCAAATAGTCCTTTTTTTGCTTCTATTCCAATGAATGTTTATGATGCTACTTTCCCCAAATCGAAACAATAAAAAGGTGCATTGAAACCATATTGCTTAATCTAAGCAATCATCCAGTCAAGTTAATGAAATGACAGGTGATGCATAGACTCCTTAAATACAGATTTTTTGTGAGGTAGACGTTGTTCCCTTTTTTTATTTTTTTGCTTAGTGTTTCTACTTTTTGCTGGGTGGGGGCGTTGTGACTATATACAATGAAATACTATATACAATGAAAAAACATGCAATTAATTTTACATCCAGAATCCTACAGTTGAGTATATGAATTCCATATACAACCCAGTGCCTTGGGAGAAAGAAGAGTATTTGAAGCCAGTATTAGAAGATGACCTATTACTTCAATTTGGTAAGATGAACCTACTGGGTCTTCTTTAACACAGGGTCATTTATAATGGCAAATGGTGGTTAAGTTTTCTAAGAAAATATATCATCGCCTTAATTCTCTAAAGACTTTACCAGGTAGTTGGTTTCAGTATGAAAGCTGTTTGAAAGTTACAGTGACCATTACTAGAGAGAAATTTAGAGGTAGAAGTTTGTTTTAATACTGTGTATAAGATGTTCTGAAACATAGGGACACTTAAGAAAATAATTTTTTTAAAGATTATTTATTTATTTATTTGACAGAGAGAGACAGCGAGAGAGGGAACACAAGTAGGGGGAGTAGGAGAGGGAGAAGTAGGCTTCCTGAGGAGCAGGGAGCCAGATTTGGGGCTCGATCCCAAGACTCTGGGATCAGGACCGGTGTGGAAGGCAGATGCTGAACCACTGAACCACCCAGGCGCCCCAATAATTTTAATTGTAGACTAATTTTTAGTCTACTAAAATTGACTAAAATTTTAATTTAGCTAACTTAACTAAAATTAACTGAATTTTTAATTTATTTTTAATTAACCAAAATTTTTATATCTGATTCAAAATCATTTTTTAAATTTTTTTCTGCTTCAACGTAACATTAAAGTAGTTTTAATAGTATTTGCTGCTTTTGTCTGATGCATTTAGATCAGATAATTGACTTAATTTAAGACACCTAATTTACTGAGATTTTGTTTTGATGCAAAACAGATTCCACTCAAATTTCCAAGGGCTCATCTACACACATTAACTCTACAGCCTTCCTTGTGGCAGGGCTACTTTCATTTCTTGACTATAGCTTTCTTATTTGCTCTGTGCACTCACTCATTTCCTATTTTACTCTTTCTAAGATTTATTTATCTGAGAGAGGGAGAGTGTGAGTGTGTACATGTGAGTGGGCGGAGAGGTTGAGGGAGAGAATCTCAAGCGGAATTACTACTGAGTGTGGAGCTCAAGGTGGGGTTTGATCCCAAGACCCATGAGATCATGACCTGAGCTGAAATCAGGAGTCAGGCTCTTAACTGAGTGAGCCACCCGGGCACCCCAGCTCATTCCTTATTAAACAAGGATCTTAGGAAAATTCTATTAGCTTCTTATAGATACTTTATTGTTATAACTTATCAGGGTTAAAACTTTTTTCCCCCTTATGTATACCATATTTAGATGTAAAGCATTTGCTCTCTTCAGCTCAGTAAGACCATTCTAAAAGGACATGTCCCTTCACATACAGAAGTTTGACAGTGTGGACTTGAGTAGTTCTCTGATTAGTGAGAGCTGTAGAAAACTACTCATTTCCTTGAGAAGGATAATCATTAAGTTGTATGATACTGTGATGTAGTAGTTAGGACCTTGATGTTGGATTCAGGAACTGTTTTACCCTGGACAGAACTTTTTGTTACTAAGTTTCCATCTGAGATTCTTTCTGGCTCCAAAATTTGGTGAGTCCGGGTTGATTTTTTCCTGTTTTTACAAATTCTCTCTAATCTCATTTCTCCCCCAGAGTGATCAAAGTGATCTCTTTGATAAATGACCAAGTGCCCACTAAGTACTCTTCATGACTTCCTAAATTCAAAATCACCCACTGAACACTCACAGGATAAAAGTGGTACATCAAATGCCTTAGAAACATGAAGAAATGACTCTTTCCCATAGGGAGGCCACAGTCTTAAAGAGTATTTTGTTTTTAAATGTCTGTCTTGTATTATGAGGTCAGATATGATAAGTTTTGTGAGAAGTAGAAAAGGTAGTATTGTTCAGAAGAGGGAGAGGTTATATCAACACATATTTGTTGTATGCTGGTCACTGTGGGTGCAGATCAGCATTGAATCTAACTCTCCAACGGGAATATTAAGTTAATCTCCTTCAGCCTTAATTTGTAAAAAGGTGGTAATGACACTTACCTTGTAGAATTGTTGCGAAGATAATGCATGTTAGCGCAGTACCTGTCAGAGGGTTAACTGCTTAATAAAGGAGAATTTATTGTTACTAGTAAATAAATAAGGTCTACAGGAGTTTGGATGAAGAAGCCATGACTGTGATCTGGAACACTCAAAGAGGCCAGTAAAAAAGGGAGAACTTGAACTGGGCATGTCCTTGAGTGTGCTGCCTGCGTTCTCTCAAATAGTGCTCCTAGCCCTTGGTGGAGAGAGACAGAAGAGAAGGTCATTGCTGTCTTGGCTCCAAGCTTATTGACCACTGAACCTCCACTGCCTTTCAATAAATATTTATCAAGCATCTGCTAAGTATTAGGCTTTGAGGATTTAAAGGTGATCAAATTAATTAAAAAAGATGACTAAGAAAATAGGCAATACAAGTATAGTATAAGGGGAGGCCAAGTAACTATGAGGAAGAAACCTGGTAAACACTAGCGTAGCCAGATAATCACATCAGTGATAAATCACATTGTTGTTATAAATTCTTTATAATGTGTGATGAGAATGGCACTTTCCCTCTAGTCTTCCTCCCCAAACCCAATAACCTCAGTCAAACCATGAAAATCCATCAGACACACAAAGTAAGGGTCATTCTACAAACTTCCTGATTAGTACTCCTCAAAACTATCAAGGACATCAAAAACAAGAAACATCTGAGAAATTGTCATAGCTAAGAGAGGCTTAAGGAGATATGACAACTGAATGAAATTACAGTATCCTGGATAGGCTCTTGGGACAGAAAGGGGATGTTAGGAAAAACTAATGAAATCTGAGTAAATAAAATGAGTTTTTTTTTTAAGTACAATGTAACATTTGGAAAATATTCCACAAAGTGTCAGTATTCTTTTATAAACAAAGAACCATTAAACCTTGAGGGACAAAGGATGAAACACTTGATAGAACAATAGGAAAAAGTACATGATGAAACAGTTCACCAAAGAGTTCGAAAGTAGCCCATCAGTGAGATACCTTTTATTACCTATCAGACCGGTAAATAGTTTTAAAATATGACGTATTTTGTTGACAGAGAAGTACAGGCACTGATACATTGCTAGTAGAATGCAAATTTAGCAACACCTAATTAAACTGTATGTGCCCTTTTTAACACAGCAGTTTCACAGATAAGAATCATTGCGTACATGTATTTTCCAACATTCTGAAAATACCTGTACGCAAGTTTATTCAAGATAACATTGTAATTTCTAAATATTGACAACAGCCTAAGTCCTCATACATAGAAGAGTAGTTGAGTAAACTCTGGTAGGTCCACACCATCTATTAAAAAAAAAACAACAACAACCCAAAGTTCTCTGAACTGATAGAGTGATTTCCAAGACATACGGTTAAATAAGAAAAGGCAAAGCTCAAAGGAGTATCTATGGTATGATATTCTTTTCATGTAAGAAAGGAAGGGACTTGAGAAAATGCGTGTGCCTGCTCATTTGTGTAAGAGAAATACAGTAAAGATAAACTAGAGACTAAAGAGAGCAGTTACGTATGGGGTTTAGTGGGACAGCGATAGAAGGGCACAGTGGGGTAGACGTAACAGGGATAATGGGGGAGTGACATTTCTTGGAGAATGTACCTTCTATATAGCCCCACTCTTGGGATAGAGGTATTTTATTTCTCATAGCCTTCATGTAATTAAAAAAAAAAAAAACAACAAAGCAACCAGGAGGTATGAGGGTAGTGGTGGTGCAAAATGGAATACAAACACTAACGAATGAACTCAGCTATATTAACACAGGACTAATGTAACTGCTGAAGGGGGTAGGGAAGGAAAGAGTTGTTTGAGTCACTAAAATCTTGACTGGATATTGCAAAAAAGACTACATAAATTCTGTAATCTAGTCAGGAAAGGTTTTTCTCATAAGGTTTGAGCTAGCAATTCTGGGACTATTACTTTCTGTAATAGCATGGACAAGTAAGTAAATATATTACGGACAATAAGAGCTAGGTTTCTCACTGTTGGGAAGGAGGTGTCAGATAAGGAAGTACAGAAGGATGAAATGAGTCCTATAGTGATAGATTGGAATCAGAGTTACCAGTATCAACTCAGTTTTTAATATACATGCACATAGGTAGGGGAATACAGGTGTCTGTGCATGTGTGGGTTAGTATACACACATGTCTTTCCTGGCTCTGTTGAGAAAGCTTAGAAAAACCCCAGTAGCAGTAAACGTGCCTGTTGCCCAGATTTTAACACCATTGTCCAATAAAAAATTTTTAAAAAGTTTGGAGAAGTGATTGATTCCATGGATGGCATAGGGCGATACAAGATGACTCTGGAACAGTTTGCTCCACAGAGTAAGGAAGTGCTTAAAAAGAAAAGGTGGGGAGCTGGGGGTGGGAAGAGGGGACTTACACAAGAATACAGGAGCCAACCTGAAGGACTCTTCATGGCCAAACCTGGAGGAATTTGAGGAACACAAAGTGATAGTGTTGGGTTTTAGCTCATAGGATAGAATAAATATACCTAAATCCATACTGACGTTATCAGCTAGATATGGAGCTAAAAATGGAGAAGGAGCAGCTCAAACCTAGAGTAAAATTTTAGAAGGGGAGAGAGAAAATGACCATTATGCAAACACCATAGTAATAACTTGCAGAAAAGATGCACCAATGGACACTAAGATCAGTGGATAAAAATTTAATATGAAATAGGATTTGCATAGTTCAGAATATCTCCCCAAGAAGTTTAAATACAAAGGAGATGTTAACTTTTTTTCCAGCAGACACTCCCACAACTGACTGATCAAGGTTAACGTCACCATTAATAAGTCCTATTGACACCTTGGAAAAACGCACTCAGGATACAACATCATTTTTCTGCTGTACTTTATTCCAATAATGAAAAAACATCAGACAAACTCAAGTTGACAGACTGACTGTAAAATCCGTACTCTACAGGAGTGTCAGATACAGTTTTTGGGTCCACTAGTCTCGAAATAGTTCAAGGTGTTGGATATTTTAGTTGTGATCTCTTACATGTTTTTGAATTTCTCTAATTCATCAGTCATTGATGGGGTGTACTTACGTTTCTATGAAGAATTGTCTGTTTTTGCCTTTTAATTCTATCAGTTTTTGCTTTTGTGAGGTATATACTCATTTATAATTGTTATGCCTTCTTGATGAATTGACCGTCCTTTGTGGTAGTTCTCAGCTGCCAAAATGAAGTATCCAGGTGATCTGAACCTCCAGAGACAGAATGTAGATGTGGGAATTCATCTTCCTGAACATGGTTTAGAACTTTGAATTAGACTTTTGATAAATTGTAGTTATGGATCTTAATGTTGACTGAATCCTTTCTCCTTTTCAACATTTCCTTTATATGATTATCTATATATTATTAGTGTTGAAAGATTACTCTGTCTTTTATTGCAGCAAAAAGCAAACAGAGAAACTTGCTGAAACAAAGAAATCAATTCCTTTGTTCAGTTCTCATCTGTAATTTAGACCAACAAGCTGGCTTGTAAACAGTTTGAAGAAGTTTGAAAATGAGTTGTAGTAAGAAGTAGAAAATATGGTGTACTGTCCTTAACATATTTTGTTGTTCTCATTAATTTTTGGTGAAGTAAATAGCAAATGAATCTATAGTTGTTTTAAAACAGTGATTCAGTATTCTGACTAATTGGAGATTAGTGGCATATTGTACTACTGCTCTTAGAAGAAGTTCGATGTAGGCTCTAGTCTCTAAGTTGTATTCTCATGTATTTGTTAAGCTTAGTTCTTTTTTCTCAACTCTGTAAGTGTCATAACTAAAAACTGAATATGGAAAAATGAAGCCATATTTCTTTCAGTGCTGTACTGAAGAGAAAATATATCTGCATCATTTTTATTATTTTAAGTTGATCAGAAGGTTAATTGGACTGATTAATAGACACTGGGATTTTGACCACAGTCACTAACTCCATATATTAACTTCTGTTTGCAGAGTTGTTAGTTCTACAGTGGAAGTTAATGACTTTATACATCAAGATATTAAAGTTAAGTCTTTTGATATTAGGAATTAGGATGTCATAATACCAGCAATAAGACATTGGTGTATAGATTACACTATCCATTACCTAGGATAAAAAAGTTACTGAATGTATAGAATTCTTTATGTACACACTGTCCTTAGTGAATATCTAAATGTAATGCCTGTTATTCTATAGATAAAGACTCAGAGTCTGAGAAGGGACCTAGTGTGGTGGCAAGAATATGAACTAGGAGGGCAGGCATGGGTTTGTATCTTAGTTTTTTTATTAAATCACCAAGTGACTTTGGGCAGCTCCCTTAATTTCTCTGAAATTTATATTTCCCATGCCTTAAAATAGGGATAAATATTTATATCTTAGGTTTGTTTTGAGGAAGAAATAAGATGTAATGTATGTGCTTGGAAGAAATTTGGTGATCAATACATATTAGGGGGGCACCTGGGTGGCTCAGTGGGTTAAAGCCTCTGCCTTCAGCTCAGGTCATGATCTCAGAGTCCTGGGATCAAGCCCCTCTGCTCAGCAGGAAGCCTGCTTCCTCCTCTCTCTCTCTCTGTCTGCCTCTCTGTCTACTTGTGATTTCTGTCTGTCAAATAAATAAATAAAATCTTTAAAAAAATACATATTAGGACTTTTTCTTTCCATTTTTTGCTTCTAAGTTTGGTTCAGTATAATTAATGCTTTAATATATGGTTAATTTAGCCACCTAATGAAAAAGTTAGACTAACAGAATGCTCTTTATATTTAAATGGAAACAGTTTGGATATTAAAGATTTATTTAACTAGAAGTACTTCTTATTTATTTAACTAGAAGTACTTCTGCAACTATTTCTCAGTTGGCTGCATAATAGGCCCTTAGTATATATTTATTGATAATATGTTTATATTTGCTTCATTGTTAGAAGATGGCATGATAATAATGTCCATTTATTTCTTTAGATGTAGAAGATCTTTATGAACCAGTGTCAGTCCCATTCTCATACCCCAATGGACTCAGTGAAAACACATCTGTTGTTGAAAAATTGAAACATATGGAAGCCAGGGCACTGTCTGCTGAAGCTGCATTAGCTAGAGCACGTGAGGATCTGCAAAGAATGAAGTAATTTATCAATCTTACAGAATATTAGTTATTTAGATCCCCAAAGTAATACTGCTAATAATAAGGTGGAATATGGTAAAACATTTCATGTATTGGAAAGCACAATGTGGGTATTTAATTTTAAATTTATTTTAAGTTAATTAATGGTATGCAACATTTTTATATGTTGTAGTTGATTAACAGAATTTTGTGGTTTTGCTTGTTTCCACATTCTTTATAATTACTTTTGTGCTTGCAGTTATTGTTCTAGGAGTGTCGTCCTCTTGAGTGCTTTTGTTCTTTGATATTGCCTTCCTTTGAATTACTCGGTAATCTAATAGAATCTAATAGATTTTTCCACTTACTTTTTTTCTCCTAGCCTTTTAAGGGGGAGTAATTAATATTTTTTAGGTTTGGGGACAATACAGTGTTGAAATTTTTGTTTTTAAAGAACCAAAGTATAATTATGTAGTATTAGAAAATGAGATACATAGGATGATTTTGTCCAGTGAGTAAATTAGCCTTCTACTGGTTTACTTCACAGAATATACTTCACAGAATTTAGTGTGCATGTGAATCACTTGGGAATTTGTCACACTGTACATTCTGATTCAGAGGTCTGAAGTGGGGCCCAAGATTCTGCATTTCTCCAAAGCATAGCTTTAGCTGTTGGATTTTTGTAAATTGGTTGCCATTCCCTCAGTACCCATTTGATGGTTTGCTAGAATGTCCAGGGAACAAAGTGTAGCTGACTGTGGTTCCCTTTCCTTTTTGAGATTTTATGCTGGTTAATCTAGTAACCAACAACTTCACTGTCGGCCCCCCAGCTTAGCATCTCTCCCCCGTGCATACATTATAGATACTTAATATGTTGTCATCAGAGAGGGAATTGAGTTTTAGAGCTGCAGTGGGTGGTGGTGGTGTAGGTAAATAATTCTCAATTTGGGTCAACTTTCTGCCCATATACCCTTTGATGAAGTATTGTGGTTTCAAAAAATCTTAATAGTGTTGAAATATACCACACTGATTCATTCACCTGCTAAAATAAGATTTTAGAACAATAGAAATAATAAAATTGAATCAAAATAATGTGGTTTTGTTCAGTTGAAAGATACAAACAGCTATATAATCTGTTTCTGTGGTTCGCAGAAGGCATGTTTACGTCTGAGTTTGCATATGCTGTTGCTTAAGATCCAGCAGGGGGAGCCTTCCGTTGCTTCAGATAGAATGTTGAGTTAGAGGCTCATCACGCTGCATACCAGACTCCCTCCCTTTTCTTCTCCCTCAACCTCTAGCCTTTCCTTTTTTCATGGTCCAATAAACCTGTCTCAAGGGTGTATTTCAAATTGATTACAGACAATTTGCTCAGGATTTTGTGATGAACGCAGATGTCAGAACCTGCTCGTCATCTACTACTGCCATTGCAGACCTCCAGGAAGATGAGGATGGCGTTTATTTCAGCTCATACGGGCATTATGGGATACATGAAGAAATGCTAAAGGTTAGAAAAGAGCATAAAGTGCTCCAAATCCGTACTAAAGGAAAAACCGAATGAAACAAGTTCTTAGTATATATTCTGTAGGAACTGGGTTTTTTTTGTGTTTTCTTAGAACTGCTTTTTAAATCTCTTTGGTGCCTAATAGTGCATCTTGGGTTGAAAAGACTATAGGAGCATCACAGCCACTGTAAATTCGATTTAAGATCCTTCTTAATCTTTATGAAATTTTACTTTTGCTTGAAATAAAACATTGGAGAAAACTGCTGCTGGTTTTCATCTTCTCAAGAGCAACTATTAAATAGTAACAAATTATACATTTGTCTTTTAATGTACAAAGGGGATGATTAATTTTAGTGTTCTAAATAGTAATATTGACTTCAGTTTGGGCAAATAATTTTTTGGTAAAAAGTTTAATTGTAAATAATTTTTATAATTGTCATAGCATAACTTTGTTACATTTGAAATCATTGATATGTAGAATTTCCTAAATTGGTCAAATCAGGTTTTTAAATTTGGTTGGTTTTAATTTTTATAATGATAATGTCCATATAAAATATAAATAAATTTCTAGCCATACGTAGTAATTACACATTTGATTATGTATTACAGATTGTAAAATAGTAACATCTAATTTTTTAATTCGGTAAAACTATAGTAGAACAAGTGTTGGAATGTAAAAAACTTCATGAAAGTGTTAGACGTTCATCTCTGTGAATTTTAGATGCCGACAAAAAATGCATTCCTAAATCCTTCCTCACAGGATTGTTTTATTTTGGAAAGCCTGGAGACCATGTTCCTCTGACACAGATAGATTTAAAATAACCAGGGATATTTAATAATAACATGTATGTATTTTGTTGAGTCAGGTTTGCAAGATCACAGGGTGGAGGTCTCCTGATTAATAGTAATTGTAATTACTTGGGGTCTGTTAAAACAGTGTCATGTCATTCCTTTAATAATGACATGTCACAGTAGGTTGTACTTTTTGTTATCACTTGGGTAATGGCATAGCATTATAAATAACAGTTATAAGTGATAAATTATTTTAAGTCGGAGTGAGTTTGTTTAAAAGAAATTGATTTACTCTGTTTTCTTTGTTAAAATTTATTGTGTCTAGAATTCTTTTTAAGGGGTTCACTTAAGCCCATGTTTGTCATTTTAAATCACCCCATCAATTTAAATGCCATGAACCTTTAATGCCTTTAGTATGGAAATTGTGTGGGTTTTCAGACAGATAAGGTTACTGAGACTCCCAAGTAGGTGGGGCATAAATGTATCCTAGATACAATCATCAGGGAAATCCATTTTGACTACTTATTTCCAAATGTCTGTCTGGACATTTGTCTCTGTATATCCATAACTAGAGGATCTTTATACCTGGTCATATATCTTTAAGTCCTTTTGATGTACATATGGATTTAAGAAATTCCACCTTGAAGTTCTCAGTGCTACATTTTCCCTTTTAGAGAATCATTTAAGAATCCCTATTAATATAATTTTCCATGCCTCACTTCCCATTAGCTGTTACACAATGTAATTACCTCTCCTTGGGGATGACTTGATTAAGTATTCATAAGAAATAAGCATATATTCCATGCAAAAAGAACTATTTATCCAGTTTATATTTTGCTAACTTACATACTGTGGGTGAGTAGGAAATGTTCTGTGTATCAAGCAGTATTCTGTTTCTTATCAAAGCAATTCTTAGCTCACATAATCTGTTTAAGGTTGCATTATTACCACAATCTCATTTGATATTTATAAATAATTTAAAATTGAGAAACCATGGATAGGATTTATTTTTATGCTTAGAATTGGCCTTGCTTTTATGGGAAGAGTATTTGGATTTTTTGGTTGCTTAATCTCAGGTATTTCAATGATGGCATATGTTGTGATTATAATTAGAAATAAAGGTACTTTGTGATCTTACTTTCTAGAGTTTGGATGAAGATAACATTTTTGAATTCCAGAGCTAACAGCTGATGGAAGGATGGATTACATGAACTTTCAAAATCCTTTGCCACTTTATCTTTCTGAAGAAGAGTCATTCTTGACTAATGTTGTAAATCTGAGATGTATCAGTCTCTTTTTTTCCAAGAAAAATATTGTTCATCCTGGTAAACATTTATCACAGATCAAGTACCATTACATTACTTTTCTTTACTGCATTCTTCTGATTGTATCTCCATTCGACTCATGCATTCCTTCTACCTTCATGAGCCTGTACCTTTAAAACATACCATTATATATACATAAAATTCGTAGGATATACTTTTCTGTAGTCTCATTCTTAAATTTTTTCTTGTATTTGTAGGAATAATTCCATGGCACTTTACTAGTCTTCGAAAATGATGTTGCTTCTTAGTATTAGAGCTCTGATTTTATTCTTCTTTTGTGTTCCTTAGTTTTAATAGGCTGGTGAAAAAAACAATTTTTAAAATTTCTATTATCTTATTTTGTATTGAAGTGTTTGTGTTTTCTTAGAATACATTTTTACAGGTGGTTATGAGTGCTAGTCTTTTATTTGCCTGCATTTTCATTTTTAGTGGTTTTCCTTTCAAGACTTCAGTTACTAAACTGAAGCTCTGCTATGCCCAAGGCACTCTGGTATACTTTGGATTTTATTGCACGTGAATGAAAGCAGATGGATCTGTAAAAAGAGCCCGGATGAAGGACTGTAGTTGAGGGAGCAGCGGTGCATGGATTTAGGACAGGCGTTCGGGTGCTTGTGATCAAGTTGGAGCAGTGGTGAGGCAGTGTGGTTGGCGAGAGCTTTCCAAGTGACTGCCTCCTAGACTGATGTTCACCCACCAGAAATCACTGGCTGTAGTACAAGATGAGTATAAAAATGACAAATGTATGGAATGGTACACATTTTTTTATATAAAGCAATTAGAAATAATACCATCAGAAAACATGGAATTAATTCTGCAGTTCCACATTTTTTTTATATCTTGTAATTAAGTAGAACAACTTGGCTTTTAATTTGAGACATTATATGGGTTTGGGGGGTTTTTTTGGCCTAAAATTGTTTTTTGAAGAGTATGGATTGCCTGAATTTTGATATCATAGTATTTGCTGTAACATTTCTTTTTACCTAGTGTGAAACCTAAATAAAGCTGGAAGTCCTATTCTATTTTTATTGTGCTCATTTTATTTACTTGGCAGCAGAGGCCCTTTCTGCTTAATTTGCTGTCTGTACGTGTCTCAACTAAAGTAATTGAAAAGGGAATCTGCTCTATTCATGAACTAAAATAAATGTTCACATTCGATGCCTGCGTCAGTCACAGGTCATGCGAGACTCCAGAGTGTAGAAGTCTCAAATGTGAGCTGCAGGGCTCAAATGATTTACCTTTGGGATTATAGGCTTTTAAGCATCATTTCCTACTACAGACATTTCTAGAAACAAAACAGGATTATAAATCAGATAGGTGCTGATCAGTGACTTTCTTAGAAAAACCATATTCCGTGTGGCTTCATTTTTTATATGTAACCACAACTTTTAACATTTATCTGTTTTGGCTTTTTTTTCCTCCCATATTTTAACATAGCATTTTAACATTTAACCTAGTAGACTCCCTTTACTATACGTTTTCAGGCTCTAGACTCTAGGCCCTATTTGGTGGAGCAAAACATCATGTTCAGCTTCGTTAGCTTTAATTATCAGTTGAAGTCTTGAAATGATAACATGTATCAAGACAAAAATGTGTACATCTTTAAGAATTTAGACCTTATCCAACTTTCAGTAATTTTCTTTGTGTGTTGGCGTTTCTATTTTTTATTGTTTTTAGGACAAAGAAATTAAGCTTAGCTTTCCAAGCAAACTAACAATGTGTGATAAAATAACAAATATCTTCCTAGAAATTTTATATTTTCAGTCTATCCTATAAACAGAATGTTTTTCTTTCTCCACTCTAGGACAAAGTACGAACAGAAAGTTACCGAGATTTTATATATCAAAATCCACATATCTTCAAAGACAAGGTGAGTAGCATTGGCTACAGAATTGTACCTTTTGCAAGGCTCTTGGGCGGTAGAAGTCCTCATTTGGGTCTCATTGTGCTAGCAGTTGATTTAGTGTACTCTGGCTTTATTTCATGGGAGACTTTTATGACGCTTCTCTGTGGTGCAGAATCCTGATAGCAGAAAGGCTGATTAGTGCTATCATTCAGTCTACAGATTTTTTTTAAATTGAGATTCATTAATTACAGTAACATGGTTTAGTTAAACTTTACTTATCCAGATTATTTTGCTTATACATATTGTTGATCTACTGTGATTCCTATGAATTTCAAATGTATCAGATAAGCCCTGTACCAAAGCATACTTTTAGTGATTAGTATATGTTAATTAGTTAAAAATTAATAATTTTAAGAAGTTATAAGTAGGGTCAAATATTGTAAGGTAGAACTTAAGTGCTTTCTTTTAAGACCTCATCTGCTCCTTTATAAGACACTTTGTGTTTTATATTTAGTCTTAATACCATTTCAGGTTTTTTTAAAGATGGAATTTCACACTGTGTATGTGTGTGTGTTTGAAATTTTTGTCATTTGTATTTCCTCCCTTATGAATTGTTTTCATTTTTTCTTCACTTCCTCCTTCTCTCCTTTTCTATGTTGGCATGTTTACCTAAAAGTTCAGATTTTCTGTTTGTACTTTCTTGGTGGAAATTAGTCCACTAATTTAGTAAAAAATATTATCATTTCTGCCACATATATACTTTGTTTGGGCATTTTCCCCCACCCTTTCCACTTCAAGAACATGTATATTGATAACATACCAGGTTTTTATAATTCCCCTTTCACCTTCATTTTAAAAGATAGTTCTCGGAGGTTATTTTATAAGCTTTACGTGATATTGCAGCAGTGGCTAGCAATCTTTATATTTTAAAAAAATCCTTTTCCTGATTTGCATTTTGTTTGGAATATAATACAGATTGGCTTTTCATTTTCCATATCTGTTTCCCAAGAGCTGTGTTTTACTTGTGGCTTAACTGAGCTAGACAGTTGGAATTTATATGGTTCTCTGGTATCTTCACCAAAGCATTAGCTAATGAAAGGTTTATGATAGTACGTGTTTCTTTGTATTTGCTGATCCCCTGTATACACAAATAGGTGATTTCATTTTTAAAATCTTGGTTTTTATCAGTTCTTTGTACTTAGCTTTTTTGTGTGCTTTTTACATGTTATTACAGCAGAGACTAAGAATTTTTTTATAGTTTTTATATTTATACCCAAGTGCTGGAACAATTTATTTAATATGTCCTAAAAACCATTTTGTTTCCCGTGAAGCAAATGTGTTACTATTAAAAATTTTGCTTTCTATTTGTAGGTAGACTGTGTTCAGATTTTTATTTTATTTTTTTCATTAATATGTTATAGAGAAATTAAGCATGTACTGGTCTGGGCATCATTAGTCCTGCCTGGCTTCTCAGGAACCAGATAAATAGTAATTTTAGAGAAGTGGGTGGATTTCTTTGGGCCTCATCTATAGAATGAAATCATTTTAACCCCTTCTGGTTTGAAGATATTACGATTTTTTTTAATTGCAAAAGCACTGTTGTTGAGCCATCTTTTCATAATACTTTTTGATATAAATACTGTAAGAAATTGTTAAGAAGTGAAAGTAAGTTAAAAGCATCTTTTCCAGTAGATTTCCAAGACTCTACTGAAAAGGCACAAATATTTGTAACTAGAAGATTATTCACTGAGAAATTAAGTAATTCTGAATATTTCTACATGTATGGAATGCATCTTAGTGGATTCATAGACATACACAGTCACTTCTGCATCTAGTTTTTTATTTTAATGGTATTATTGACATGTTAAATATATTTGTTACACATTTTCAGACAAAATACATGCCCATGGAAAATAGATAATGTTTCAGTTATTTTGTGTTTTACTTACTGCTCTTACTGAAGATGTTAAATCTGCCAAAATCAGAAAACAGCTTATTAATAATTTGGGACTGTTTTTCCTTAGCAGTTTCTCTAAAATGTTTTCATTTAAGTTAATCAATGTGTAATTAGTTTTGCTTGGCATTTATGACTTCTCAAAAACATATTGCAATGTAAAATATTATACCTATCAATTTTTAATTCCTTAGAACACTTTCATGGTTTAATTTCTGTAATTAACAATATTAAATAATCTAGAGCTTTCATATTTTTAAGTGATGTGGGATACTTTCCTTTATTATACTGTGGCTACAGATTTAGAAAATTTACTATCATATATTTAAGTAGCATTTGATAATTTATATATTGCTTTCAAACATGTTGTGTCATTGTCACTGTACAATATGCCTATAACTAGGCAGGGCAAGTGTTTATCTCATTTTGCACATGTAGATATTTGAGACCAGTAGGTTAATTGACCTTCCCTAAAACAGGCAGCTAAAATAAAAACAAATGTGAGGGGTTTTACTCCTAGTTTGGTGCCCTTAAGCCTATGCCACTGCACTTGAAACACCATTATGTTAGGATAGAATGAATAATTAGAGTGGGATGCATTAGTTATATTTTAATTGACATTATTTTTCATATTTAGTCATATGATTTTTGTGGGCCATGATAGAATATGTTCATAAAATTATTTAAATCTAATTCTTTTTTAAATGTATGAAATAACTTGTTTTCCTAAGTTTTATTAACATTGTTTTTGTTTGCTTTTATCTGTATTAGGTAGACAAACTTTATACAACCCTAGCTTCTATATCATATTATGTAGTGCATAGTAGAGATTTATTTTTCAAAAAGGTGCTTATAATTAAAAATGCGTTTCTTCCTTCCTTCTCTTTCTCAACCCCCCTTCTTGACTTCTTTCCTCTATTCCTTTCTTATTATTGTTTGAATTCACAAACCTCCTGTGGAGGCCATATGGTTTCTCAGATTTAATTTAACTTTGGGTTGCATTTAATCGTGTTATCACGCACTCATAATTTCTATTTGTAATCCATTGAAGAAATTCACAATTAAGTGCCTTCACTATGCTTTTGATTATTATCTACAGTTAAATTGATTCACTTTTTTTTCTCCTTTTTTTTTTTCAGAAAAAGGAATCAAATTCCTTCAACATTTTATAAAATAATGTTAGTTTATTCTGTCATCATTTTTACTTTCCTTTGATTATATTTTAGTTTATTACCTAATTTTGAGCTAGGTGTAATAAGTAATTAATATATAATTAAAAGTATTTTTAAAAATATAGCTTTAGAAGCAGATTGGCCTATGTTTGCATGTTAGCTTTGCAAATTATCCACTTTATGATCCTGACCTGTACCCTTCTCTCTCTCTCTGAAACTCTCTCATGTTCCTCATTTGCAAAATGAGCATTAAGACACACACACACACACACACATATGTATGCATGTGTATATAAATTATGTGTGTGTGTATATAGTGTTACAAAAGAACACATACTTTAATTGGAATGTGTAATATATATCCTTCTGTATTAAACTTTCTTTATTCAGCAACTTTCCTTAGAGATGATTCCTTATTAACATTGGCTCATATGTCCAATGTAAGAATGTCCATAAGTTTTAATTTTTAATACTAGAAACAATTCATTTAAAAATATAAAATACTTAAATTTGTTTTTAATATATGTAAGAGTACAATAATAAGATAAATTCCTAGCAGTAGACTTCCTGAGTCAAAAAAGATTATTTATACATTAGATGGTATTAGTGCTGCCAGCCTGTCTTTCCGTAAACAGTGTGTGACTGTTGATATTCCCAGTCACCATTAGCAAATACTATAGTATCAAACTTCTAAATTCCACACTGACTTTTTATTTTTAATTTTGAAATTTTGCAGATCCTTTATTTCAGTGAAAGTTTCTAGGAACTTAGCACTTACGATTGTGTTACATATTTTTCCATTTTTATTTTATGCCATATATTTCAAACTAATGGACTGTAAGCATATATGCTACCTATTATAGTATTTTCTTGCTGTTATGGTTAACACATTATATTTGTAACTTAAGAATATGTTTTAGTTTTGTTTGCAATGACATGTAGTTTCCATCTTAAAATCCTTAACTTTTTTTTGTTAAAGTAGCTATGTTAAAATGTGGTGACTCAACTCAGACGGAGCACAGATTCTCTCCAGATGAAAGCATCCGGGCCTTGTCCTTCTTTGAGGGGCACAAGATAGGAGACACAGAGTAGTAAACTTTTGACAACTTTATTGCTTCAGTGAAAATCAAGCTGTTTAGATTTTCTCTCTTTTGGAGTCAGTTCTAGTAAATTATGTTTTCAAAATATAATGGAATGAAGCACTCCACTCATAACAGTAAACAATACAGGAGATAAAATGCATATGAACAAACTTAAATAATGTGCAGGGCTAATATGAAAAAAACTTTTAAATCTGAAGAACATGATAGTTAATTTAAACAAACTGAAATCCTGTGTTCTTGAGTAGGAAAACTGAAATTGTCCATTTTCCCTAAATTAACTTAGAATTTTTAGCTCAATCCCCATAAAAATACTAAGATTTTTTTAAAAAACCTAGACAAGTTTATTCTCTTGTTCTTATGAAAAAAATAAATATACAAAATTTTCCAGAAACACTATGAAAACAATTTTGTAGTGAGGGTGGCTCAGAGAGTGGACCAGCCTTACTAAGTACTAAAACATTCTGTAAAGCTTCTGTAATTAGTATAGTTACTGGCACATGATTATATAAACTAATGGGAGCAGAATAGAAATCCAAAATATATACATAATTTTTACTTAATGCTCCAGGTCCCATTCAGGTTGCTGTAACAAAAATACCATGAACTTATTAGTGGCTTGTAACAACAGAAATTTCTCACAGTTACAGAGGCTGGGAAGTCCAAGATCATGGCACTGGCTAATTCTGGTGAAGGCCTGCTTTGTGTTCATAAAATGCCTTCTTCCTCCAGAGAGGAATCTGTCCTGGGGCCTCTTTTATAAGGGTACTAATTGCATTCATGAGGGCTTTGCCCTTATGACCTAATTACCTCCCAAAGACCCTCGTTTCTAATACCATCACTTTTGGTTAGGATTTCAACATATAAATTTTGGAAGGACACAGATATTCAGCAGATCTTAACAGTCACATATCAAATTAGTAAGGGAAACAGACTGTTTAATAGCATGTTGGAACAGTTGGTTAGCCATCTGAACAGAAGTAAGGTTGAAACCATATCTCTTAATATAAACTATGATAAAAACAGTGTATTAATGAAACCATAAATATACCAGAAGGAAATGTATGAGGATGAAACAGGGAAGATGGGGAGGGTCAGTCTAATTATGAAAATCCAGGAGGAAGCCATAAAAGACATGATTGATGAGTTTTACTGTAAGTAAAGAATTTCTACATAACAAAAGTCACTGTAAGCTGACTCAAAAGACAAAAATATATGCTGAGAGTGGGGCACCTGGGTGACTCCGTCAATTAACTGTCTGCCTTCGGCTTAGGTCATGATCCTGGGGTCCTGGGATTGAGCCCCGTATCAGACTCCATGCTAAACATAGAGTCTGCTTCTCCCTCTCCCTCTGCCTCTCCTTCTATTCATGCTCTCTTTCTCTCTCAGGATAAATATATTTTAAAAAATCTTTAAAAATATAATCTCTCATAGCTACTAAAACAAGAGTTCCTTAAAAAAATATATGCTGAGAGAAACATTCCAGGTTTTATTATGGAGGTTTAATTTCCTTAACTTACAAAGAATTGTTGTTTGACAAGATTTGTTAAGAAAATTTTGATTAGAAATTTGATAAGAAAAAACTTAACTGGAAAAATAGAGGAGGGGTATATAAGTAGATAGTTTCTAAACAAAGAACTACATATGACTTTACAACGTAAGGAATGATGCTAAATCTCATGATAATGGAAATACATGTTTTAACTAGACCAACATATTATTATTTTGTACTTGCAAGATTGGCAAATAGCCAAAAATGTGATTGTATGTTCCATAGGCTAGTCTCATCTATAAGGACATCAGCACTTAAACATTGCTGGTTAGATTGGCCCAAGGAAGAGAATTTATTTGATTATATCTGCCATGATTACAAATATGTATATTCTCTCTGATAGATTTACTCATGTGTGAATGCAGTTGGGTATAAGATTATTTATACCTTTGATTATCCTAGTAAAATTTCAGAAACTACCTAAATGTCCATCAGTAGAGAACTAGGTCCGTAGATTATGGTGCAGTCATAATATGGAATCCTATACGACTGTATGAGAGAAAGAAGTTCTGTAAATTGATACAGAAAGATCTCTACATTGTTAAATACGAAAAGCAGTACGGAGCAAGGGCAAAAGGGGAAAGAAAAAAAATGTGTTGCATTACATTTGCATAGAAAGTCTCTTGAAGGATAACTAAGAAATACAGTTTTTATGTCTAAACTATTTGACTATATTACCTAGCTGAAGAATAAAATAATTCTTGAACAGTGTAATAAATTCTTAATTCTCGTTCTGTTTTTCTTACGGTAACTTCCCATTACTCAGAATAAAATCCAAAAGTTCTGTGTGATATGGTCCCTTCTTAATCTCTGACTTCACCTCCACCTTTTCTCACCCAGCTTAGCCACATTGGTCTAGCTTTGCCTGGTATTTCATGCCTTGCCTTTGATATCCTCCGTGGCCAGAAGACACTTCTCCAGATCTCCACATAGTATGCTCCTTTATTGCCTTCAGTTCTGTGCTCACATGTGGGGAAACATATTCACAGACCTATTTAAAATTCTGAAAAGATGGTTCCCTTTTCCCTGCTCTAATCTCTACTCTGGTGCTTGAATTTCTTTATAACACTACCACCTGACATTATTTTATATTTGTTCATTCATTGGTCTTCTCCACAAGAGAATCTCCCCTTCCTTAAGACAGGGGCTTGTCTTGTTTGTGGCCGTATCCCATTACTGTGATCAATGCCTGCTCTTAACTGTACTAATATTTACAGAATACTGAAATCATTTCATATTTTGGGATAAGCACATAGGATTTAGACCATCAATAATGAAAGGCTTAAGGCCCTACAGTTTTCAGTAATTTCACATAGTACTATACCTCTGAGTACTTTGCCTAATGTGTGTCCTCAGCAATTTGTTTTTGGTTTTTTTGGTTTTTTTTTAAGATTTTATTTATTTATTTGACAGAGAGAGATCGCAAGTAGACAGAGAGGCAGGCAGAGAGAGAGAGGAGGAAGCAGGCTCCCTGCCAAGCAGAGAACCCGATACGGGACTCAATACCAGGACCCTGAGATCATGACCTGAGCCAAAGACAGAAGCTTAACCCACTGAGCCACCAAGGCGCCCTGTTTTTGTTTTTGCAGGTTTTACTATACAGTCCTGAAAATAACATGCAATTCCTAATTTAGAAATAATTGCTTTTTACCTGTTTCCAGTATCATCATTTTTTTAAAAAAAAGATTTTATTTATTTATTTGACAGAGATCACAAGTAGGCAGAGAGGCAGGCAGAGAGAGAGGGGGGAAGCAGGCTCCCCACTGAGCAGAGAGCCCCATGTGGGGCTTGATCCCAGGACCCTGAGATCATGACCTGGGCTGAAGGCAGAGGCTTAACCCACTGAGCCACCCAGGTGCCCCTCCGGTATCATCTTAAACTTTGATTTTTATTACATTCACTAATGATAATGAGTATCATTTTTATTTTTTTTTTTTTACTTATTAAAGATTTTATTTATTTGAGAGAGAGAGAGAAAGAGATAGAGAGAGCACAAGCGGGGAGGAGAGGGAGAAGCAGGCTTCCCACTGAGCAGGGAGCCCAATTTGGGGCTCAGTCCCAGGACCCTGGGATCATGACCTGAGCCGAAGGCAGACAGACACTTAACTGACTGAGCCACCCAGGAGCCCCGAGGATCATTTTTAAAACTTATATTGAAGTTCTGAATTCTAGAAGCCAATGTATTTTTAATATATCTGTATTATTTAAATGAGTTGAATATTTAATTTTGGATCTGGAGGGGATATGACAATATTCTACATCTAGGATTCCTTTATAAGCATTTGTTAATTGTATTGGATCAGGTTTTTATCCTGCTTAAGTTAATTCCTGCCTTTCAAACTTGAGAAAGTTTATTTCAGCTAAAATTTAGAACTACTAAACCTAAATTAGAGCATGCATACATACAGTAGGGAAATTATAAACAGAATACGTCCTTATGAAATCTATACACATCACATATTTCATATAAAACATTTCTTAATTTACATTGTTGCATCTGATTGGTAGCAGAATATAGCCAGATATGCTATTGAGAATGTAAAACAACCAAGGTGCCCGGTTGGCTTAATCAGTAGAGCACAAGACTCTTAATCTTGGGGTCATGAGTTCAAGCCCATGTTAGGCACAGAACTTATATACCCCCCCCAAAAAGGAATTTAAAACAACCCATTTTAATCATATCTTCAGTTTTGTTTTTTTTTTTAATAGAAATTACTACTATCATTGATTTTAAATTTTGTCATCTGTTCCTTCCCGGTAATGTCATATATATAAATAGAACTTAAAATACTAGACCTTCTCAACAACATCTGTTTTTTTATTACACCAGGTGGTTTTGGATGTTGGTTGTGGAACTGGAATTCTCTCTATGTTTGCAGCTAAAGCTGGGGCAAAGAAAGTTCTTGGAGTTGATCAGTCTGAAATACTTTACCAGGCAATGGATATCATAAGGTAGATGTATTTTAAGGCTTGATTTAAGATTATTTTTAAATATGGTGATTAATCCTCTTGTCTTTACTAGCTATCTGAAGCAGACTCAAGACGTGTCTTTTAGTAAAAATTCATTCCAGAATAATAAGATTTTAGGTTAGATTGAACTAGGCGTGTTTGAGGTATGAACAGTTGTTTCACAGTTCTCACTGATGACAATTATTTTTATACAATTTCTTACCTTTCCAATTATGGGTATAAATATGCTAATTATAATAATACAAAATTAGAAATCGTTGACATATAAGATAATATTGTTAGAGGACTCAACAAAACAATATTCGTTTCATATTCAGCAAATAGCAATCAGACTAAAGACTAAGGGTTATAATTTTTCTTTTTTGCACCACTAACATTTGTGCCTCCTTCAAATTAAAATAAGTGAATTCCGAAATGATTACAAACAAAGCAGAGTAGATTTAGATTATTTCCTAAAACTTAATTTTATTCTCTAGAATTTCTCCTCTCTTTGAGGAGTTAGGTTAATTGATCAAGGATTGACTTTACAATTGGCTTATGTCATAGTAAGAAGGACTTTATTTGAACTATGGCTTAGAGAACTAGATTTCTTCAGCTGTGTTCTTAACAAAGCACCTTATACTTGGAACTTAGGAGTATTTTTCAGAGTAAATAACTAATAGGAGCTTCTCAGCAATTCTCTCCCCCGTGGCTCCCCCCTGCTTTATTGGCATAAAATTGACATATAACATTGTATAAGTTGAAGATATACAATGTATTGCTTCCATACCTTTGTGTATGCTACAGTTAACATTACCTAACACCTCCATTGCATCATGTTACCACCATTTCTTTTTGTGTTGAAAACATTTAAGATTTACTCTCTTAGGAACTTTCAAGTGTATAAACTTTTAAGTGTTTAAATACAATATCATTAACTATAATTACCTGAATACATTACATCCCCAACAGCAGTTCTTCAATGGTCCTCCCATCGATACTTCATGTTCTGTTCTTAAAATTGATTAATATTAATTCTTCCATATTAGTATTAAATTTGAATATAATTATGTAAGATGTTTAAACTTGTAGATGTTATTGTATCATGTAGAGTTTAGTGTTGTGGTTCAGAGTGCAAGGGTTGAGTCAGGATTGGTTTGAATCCTCACTCCTGCTTACCAGCTATTTGAACTTAAATTATATCTAACCTCTTCGTCACCTGCTGTTTCACTGTCAAAATTAAAATAATAATGAATACCTCATGATTATGAGCAAGGTAAGTTATAAGTAAGATATGCATATAACTCTTTGGCATATTGCTTGGCCCATAATAGGTACTCAAAAGTCAGCTACTATTATTAACAAGTACCAAATTGATGTTAATGAAAAATAACATTGGTCTTGGTTAGATTTTTCATAGTTCTGGGTTTGTGCTTATTCTTTTCATACTGGAGAAAATGGCATATATGTTGCATGTATATAGGCAACTCTAATCTAGTGAAGTTTTTCCTAGTTCTTAGGATGCCAGTAAGGACATCATTATCATTTTGGGGTTTCCGTAAAGAACACCCTCACTTGCTTGTGCATTGCCGTCCAAACAAATATGAGAACCAGTGTTCTCAAGAAGAGATTGTTTTAGAACAATTATCAAAAATACATTGTTGGTAGGAAGATTATGGTAAGATATTTCTACTTGAAGCTCTAATCTTATAAAAGACCATGTGCATTTACATGTTAATTTTCACTTTTGTTTTCTACAAAGTGCTCTCATTTTAATTCCTTTATGGAAGAAAAGGAAAAGGATGGTGATAACAGTCCTTTTATTTTATATTATTTTTGTTTCACATAGAATGCCTAGTGACTTTTTAGAAATATCTTTATACAATGATTATATTCACATTCATTGTATATAAAATGTAGTGCTGCAGTGTATGGAAATTTTGCATAAGGGCATTTATTGAAATTGACATAGCACTCGGTTTTAGGTACTTCATTTTAATAATAAAAATTGCTAACCTTAATTTAGTACTCTCTGTTGAATCTCATTTGAGGTAGATATAATATGATTAGTATAGTATATGATTATCCTTATTATAGAGATGAAGAAATGGTGGCAGAGATTGAGTAAGTCTCCTTATTTGTGGTGGAGCCAGGATTAGATCCCGGGCAGCCTGACTCCCTCATCCTCACAGCTGATTTACTGGGCTGTATCTCTGTTTAACTACTTACAGGGCTTGTGTTAGTTGTACGCAATAATTTGCTTAGAATTTGAAAATCAGCCCTTTTTGCTTTATATAAATTTTGTTTGGCTAAACCAACATTACACTGTTTCTGAAGAGATTATGACTTTTGCCTATTTTATTTTGTGAAAAAGATAGTTACATCCATAGTGTCTATAAGCATCTCTCCCTTGTCTTCCATTTGAACATTTGAAATGTATACTGTTGGGTAAAAGAACTTCTATTTTTCTATTTGTGAATGTCTCCCTAAAAAAGTATGCGGGAGACAGTTTACTGTTAATACTCCCACAGTTTCCTGGCTAATTGTTCTACCAGATGAGGAGGCAGTCTAGCATATTTCTCTCAGCATCTGGAAACACATGACTTGATTTCTGGTTTTGGCTTTTTGATTAATTAGCTACATAGTAATGATCAAATTACTTCTTTAATCTCCGGTTTCTTCCTTTATAAAGTGAGGTTGATGGTGGTTACATTGTTATAAGGATTGAATCCATTCATGGTGGTTTACAAAATGGCTGACATGTAACTGCTTACTAAATTTTAGCAGTAAATGTAATATTATTAATTAGTGGTAGTAGAGGTATGTTTAGCTTGGCATCAGTGCCTCAAGTAATATTTTATATTTTGTTGGTTATGTTTCTAAAATATCATTTATTGTACTATCCCCCCAAAATATGATGACTCTCTTTTCTGCCTTTTTTTTTTTTTTCCCAATTGCTCACAGTCTCTACTCTCTTAAACCATTAAACTTCAAGTTTTGGCCAGTTTCGTTCTGTATTCACTCTCTTCCCTTAAAATCTACTCCCAACTTCTCTCCCCCCCCCCAAGATTATTTCCTCCTCCTCTTTCTCATTCTTTTTCTCCTTCTTCTGTAGAGAGAGAGCTCCTGCATCCATGGGGTGGGTGGGAGAGACAGAGGGATAGTGAGAAAGATTCTCAAGCAGACTGCATGCTGAGCATAGAGCCTGAAATGGGGCTGGATTTCATGACCTGAGCCAAGCCAAGAGTCAGACGCTCAACTGACAGAGCCACCCAGGTGCCCCCTCTCAACTTCTCTTATAATTTTCTATTATTGTATATTGGAGCTTTCCAGAATCATCAAAGTGAGTGAAAACAACTCTTCCAGTTGGCATGTTCTGAGTCTTTGCTCTTCTGAGGCTGTTACATCAGCGATCTGTACACAGTAGAATTTCTGTAGAACTCTGTAAGCGATACCTGTAAAAAAGCACTTCAAGGGGCGCCTGGGTGGCTCAGTGGGTTGAAGCCTCTGCCTTCGGCTCGGGTCATGATCACAGGGGATTGAGCCCTGCATCGGGCTCTCTGCTCAGCGGGGAGCCTGCTTCCCTCTCTCTCTCTGCCTGCCTCTCTGCCTGCTTGTGATCTGTGATCTCTGTCAAATAGATAGATGGAGTCTTTGAAAAAAAAAAACAAAACTCTTTAAATTCTAAGAGGGATACTTTTAAAATGCATTTTTCATTATTTTTAAACATATTTAGTGTACAGTCCTTGAATTACATTCAGAATGTGATAAAATAATTTGTATCCCTTTGTTTAAAAAAGAGATCTAATATTTCTAAAGAAATGTGTTTAGAATGAAATAAATAGTGATTTTAATGTAAACTGACATGTATGTTAGGGGTTATAATGTATATTACACATAAATGTATATTTGGGCTTAAGATGAAGGTCAGGCTTGCAGTTTTGAGGTTGCAGACATGATATAAAGTAGAATATAGGTTTTCAAAGATGTTGTATTAGCAGGGCCAAATAGAACTCCAAGTGAAATATGGAAGGATGAAAAATTGTTTCTTATTCATGCTTTCGTACTTTGAACTCCACAGTGAATGATCATTTTAGAAACATGAACTTACCTAAGGACAGCAAAGCTATGGAATTGCCAGACAATTGTATACTGTGTTCACTCTCAGGAAGCAGGGGTAGCATCTGGTAAAATTTTTGCTGTAATTCAGGCTGCCTTTGGCTTCTCATTGACTCAGCCATGGAATAGCTCATTATTCAGAGTTCTGCATGTTGTTGCACAGGAGCTTCCAGGAGGAGGTTGATCCATCATACAGCCACGGTGCAATGCTTTCAGTGTCACCATGACATTAAAGATGCAATCTTTTATATTGCCTGTATCTAGAATACTGTTAGAAATGAAACATTAAGAAAAGCCTAGAGAATATTTGATCTGTTGTCATGTTTATTTAGGTGTCCTCTGGATTCTAGGACAGGAGCTATATTTTCTTAATCATTTTATTCTGAACACCTACCAAAGTATCTGATTCATGGCAGATGCTTGGTAAAGTTCTTTGAGAAGAGTTAACATAATGATTTTAAAGATAGTGGTGACCCCTATATCAGGTTTGGAACAAGATCACAAAATATACCTGGATAAATTCTTGAAGTAAGGATGTTCCTTCACATTTTGTTCCTAATTTAATGGAAATAACACAGAAAAGTGAGTTAAAGCTGCAGAGAATTTTGAACTGCTAATGAAGTTAAAATGGCAAAAAACATATTTGCTGCTCAAAAACCGTAGAATTCTAATGAAGGTAATGAAGGTGATCAAGACACAGTACAAGAAAACTAAATTCATTTCTTCTCCCACCCCACCAAATTCTTAATTTCCTGTCCGCTCAGTGATCCTGTTTTGAAGGTCTCATGACTGCCCTCTAGTCTAGTGGTTCACTGGGAAAACTCCTTACGTTCAATATAGAGTTGTGTTCACAGTTAAGATTTATATACATAGCAAAAGACATA